TTGGCTTTCAGATATAACATTTTTAATGTTAAAAAAAGACAAAATTCGATTGTGCATTATAATTTCAAAAATCTTTGAAAAACAAGGTATAAGACTAATAGGTCTGTAGTTTTCCGTCAGTCGARGATCTTTTTTTTTAAACAAAGGTTKAATAATAGAGAGCTTGAGTTTTTGTGGAAAAACGCCGTCTGAAAAGGATTTATTTATTATATGTGTCAAGGGAAGAATAATAAATTTAGTMATTTTTTTAATTAAATTATTTGATATACCRTCRTATCCGYATGAATTTTTGGGTTTTAGGTTTGAAATTGCATTTTCTACTTCTAATTGTGTAACCGAAAACATCACAAACGACTCTGCAACCCTTTTTGTTTTTGTATTGTGTTGGCTCATTMCGTTATTAAGTCCCACTGATAAAAAATAACTATTGAAAGCCTCAGCTATCGCATGAGGATCATCTAATAAATTTCCTTCATTTATAATTCTATCTAGCTCGTGATTTGTTTTTGATTTTATGTTGGAGTTTATTATTTTCCAAGTTGTTTTTGTTTTATTATCAGAGGTATTAATAAGATAATCGTTGTATTGTTTTTTCTTTTTTTCGATTATATTAGTGTAATGAGTTTTATACTTATTATAGATAGGTCTGAACCTTGCATCAACCACGCATAGCTCTGACAGGAAAGTTACCGTATCCTTAAGTTGCAATAATTCCTCGTCAATCCATTGCCTGCGATCGCTTTTAAAAGTGTTTCTTCTACGTTTTTTAAGCGGAAATGATTTTTCAAAATACATTGTAATAGTATTTATAAAATTCTCATATTTATCATCCATGGTATTTGCTAAATACACCGAATTCCACGTTTCATTTTTTATTAGATTAAGGAAATAATCAGTGCTAACCTTGTTGAAGCTACGTACTGTCTCATAACTATTGCCATTTGTTTTTACAAAATCGTTATTATACATGAGTATCTGTGCTAGATGATCAGAAATATGAGTATTAATAACTTCCGTTTCAAAMTGYGAATTCTTTTGGACTAAAAAATTATCAATAMAGGTAGCTGTATTTACAGTGATTCGGGTTGGATCTTTTATAATGGCACGCATATTGTATAAGTTGAGTAAATTAGAAACCTTTAGCCTATTRTGTTCATTTAATAGATCTATGTTAAAGTCCCCTGCTACAATTATTTTTTTATCGTTAAATTTTTTTGTTATTGTTTCAATCAAACTATCAATTTTTGATAAAAAATAATCGATGGAAGTACCAGGTGGTCTGTACACAATTACAATAACAAACCGCACATTATGTATAATTAATTCGGCACATGCACATTCAAACAAATATTCTTCAGATAAATAATTAGTATCAGCGTGTTCACGAACAAACCGTACTGAGTTGTTGGCATGATGCGTAGATTGCGACTCCGCCATGGGCCGTAGATTTAGACCTGCAGAAGGAAGCCACGAGTACGTAGTTGTTGAGTTGATATGCCGTTATGCTCTCTTGTGTTTGCCAGTGTTCGGTAATTAAAACGATCTCATATACTCGTAATACATTGTCGAGACAATTTTTGCAATTCGATATGCACTGCACATTTTGATGAAAAATACGAGTTTTACAGTTTTTACTTGCATTATTTCCAGGCGTTATTCGTTGAATGTCCGAGTATTCGTTTTTTAAATTGAGACTTGAAGGCAGGGTCCGTTCTAGAGGGGCAGGTTTGGCTTCTTGACTGGGTGAAAAATCCTTGAAACAATTGCACCATCAGGCCAGCGATCGGGATTGTTGATTTGTTCCAAATTTCTTAGATTCACAGTGACTTTGAATCTTTGATATGTTGATTTAAATTTGTTTTCCAATAATTCGCATTCAAATTCCGGAAAATCTTTAATAAAGTAGTTTTTGAGAACATCTGCCGTAGTGTCTTTTCAAGTCTTCGGACATAGAGATAGGCTTTTTTTGGTGCAGCTTTTAATCCGCCGTCTTGTCTTTTCCCAATAATAACTGGTTGTTTACTTCTCGAAGAACTTTTTGGCGCCTGGTTTTCCTTCTTCGCCGTAGCTTTATGTAAAGAAGAGAAAGAATTCCCGTTGTTTACTGTTTGAACATCTTTTTCCTGATGAGGAGGGGAGGAGTTTTCCCTATTTGCAACCCTTGAAATTGATGCGGTTGATGTTTTGTTTACATTTTCAGCTGATGTTGTTGACACTTTTTTGGTCTCTCCAGACATTGGTTCTGGTTTATTTTGTGCGCTGGTGATAGGCGGTTTTTTTGTTTCTTGCTTATCACTCCGCTTATCTTGAAGCAACTTGATGTGTTCGTACAATAATTGAACTTTTTCTTTGAGTTCAAAAATTAGTTCGTCTTTTTGTTTTAAGATATACTTAAAGATTTTTTAATCAATTACCCCATCTTCAGCATCCCAAACAATTTCATCTTCCAGCTCTCTGTCCGGTTTTTGTGTCTCGTTGTTTTCACGGCACAGTGGTGTTTTGCACTGCCACATGTTTTTCTTCATATGGAACCCCCTAGGTTCAACGTTAACACATCGTGGATGATAACTGTTTTTACAGATCGTACATGAAATCACTGTTTTTGTGTCTTCAATAACAACTTTGCAGAGCGCACAGGACACACGTGCGCTCGGTGTCATGGCTACTACTCTTGTAGTATTTGAAAACAACTATAATTTTTTAACAAAATTTCTTGGGACAAAAACAAAGAGCAAACAAAATTTGTGGCTATGGAGACAAGCTGCTACCAATTTTTTCACCAAAATTTTGACTTGGTAATTTCCATTTAAAAAAAAAACAAACTTTATGTGGGTTTTATCAAAGTTGGTCACAGAAATAACTAAAATATGTCAATAATTGTGACAGGCGCAATAGATTTTATTTGTGGAGTAACATTTACACAGGGAAGTGGCCACTATGAATTGACCGCGACTATACAAGATTATCAATATCATTATATTATATTATATTATATCAGACATGTCAAATGTCAACAAATAAATGTTTAAATTTTTTGTAAGATTGAATTTTTATACATTTTTTCCATGTTTTTGGTATTTTATCTTACTTGAAAATTTCCACTGGGGCGCGAGTTCTGACACACCCTGTACACCTAACTCATGTAATTATTTTATTAACAGTCACTATGTCTATATATATGTCGATTACTAATCTTTTAAAATTTTGGAAACACATAATTAAAGCTCATGAGCAGTAATATCATCTTATTCCTTGAGCGGTAATATGCAGGTTTGCCAACGTTAAGATTACAAAAATACCGGGAATTTTTTATTTCAAATCGTCAAGTTACGCATAATATTTTGCTAAATTAGTATTTAATTGCTTTTGTAGCAGTTTCTCTTACTTTTGGGGAACTACACTGCTCCATTTCAACGATTTTAATATCAGATTCATACATTATTTCAACATTTTCTTTGGCATTTCTGAAATATCAAAAATCAAGTGCAATTTGGATGGCCTACCACGTTTGGACCTTAACTTTGTTACAATTTTATTTATTCAAATTTTTAACTAAAAATGATGTGATTGTGAATAAAATAGCATACACACCTCGGTGGTAATAGCATTATCCCTTGTGCTTTATCCGATCTCGAAGCTGTCACCTCTCGATCGTATACATGATCACTAGGGGTAATGCCATATTTACCACCTCGTTTGTAATGTAATTATTGTGATATATAATTTTTGTTATCACACGTTTTTAATTTTATAATTAATATTCTTATAGCAACGCCACAAAACTGTATTATTCCTTGCAATTATTGAAATCGAAGATTTATCACTCGTGGCCCAATCTTCCCGTCTAGTGATAAAAAAAGCTAATTTAGCTAATTAAAATCTAGCTACTATTTGTATTATCATTTATTATTATATGTATACAGGATGTTCCGTCTAAACCCCACATTGGAAGTATTGGGAGTTGGAATAATCGTATTTATTTCAAAATTGGTACATAGCCATAAACCATTAAGTTCTACTAAATGAAAATATTTTCAAGATGGCAGTACATATTTGGAAAAATTGAGTTATGGGTATTTGAATTATTACAAAAGTAACCTTAAAATTTTATGGTTTGTTAATTTTTTTTCAAAATTTGAAAATACCGTAAGAAAGATTTAAACTTTCTCTTTTAAGCCCAAAAAAAAACGAATTCAAAATTTTAAAAAATAGCAGAGTTACCGATTTTTAAAGTGGAAGGTACAGATCCAAAAATTTTTGAAAAACTCCAAGTATTTCAAAAACGGCTAAATTTGGATATAGGAAAAGCTGATGAAAACCCTCTTAAAATAACCCAATTAATCCAAAAACGCAGTTTTTTTACTGCTATATTTTTTATAGCTTTCCATTTAAAATAAGAAAGTTGAGAACGACTTCCGGTATAACCGAAAGTGTCGCCATCGTGAAAATATTTGCATCTAGGAAGACTTAATATATTCTGGCTATGTACCAATTTTCAAACAAATATAATTATTCGAACTTCCAATACTTTTAATGTGGGGTTTAGACAGAACACCCTGTATAATAATAATAATTGCATTATAACCTGAGAATTGCTCCTTATTTCAAGAGTTGTCGATGGCCTTTTCCAGCGAAAATTTTTTGCAAACATTTGATAACAGCTAAATGATATTACTCTTAAACTTAAGTGACGATTTGCAGTCAGCATTTCTTTGATTTTCTTTAGGTACATTTTCCACCGTCTTTGCTGTTGACGATCCAATTCCGGCCCAATTGAAATGTTTTATACCACTGATATGCTTGTGTTTTTGACATACATGACTCCCCAAAGGTTTTTTGCAAAATTTTCCGAGATTCAATAGACGAATTTTTATTGGCCACACAAAATATCATGTAAATTCTGTGATCGGTAGTGGAATTTATGACAAAATTCACAAGTCTGACTTAACCACAAGTTATGGTAAAAACAATTTTAAACAAACCACTTGACCTATAGCGATAAAATTTGGCTTGATAAGAGAGTATGACTGTACCAATATACCATACAAGAATTATTAAGGTGTCTTTAACGTGAACTCTTTAAATCGAAAATTCTCGATACTTTTTTTTTCATAGTATATCTCTTTGAATATTTTTTTATGAAATTGGACACTTATTTTGGGTTCTAAAAAATGTTAATAAAATTTCAGATTAGTTATTGTGATTCGCGAAAACAGTATTTGAAATTCAGAAATTGTAAATTGTAATTGTAATTCATATTACCAAAATTTAAATTCATTATAAGTTGTTAGGCATTTATAAACAAAAACACAATTTGACCCGTCGCACCAATCTTTTATTTCATACACAAACTTAGTTTTATATACAGAGTGATTCAGATAAGATAATGAGCCTGACGATCTGGCGATGCAACCCAAAAAACAAATTTCATTTACGTCTTGATCTGATGTTAATTACGATTTGCATTTGCAATCCAAGTTATCTTATGTTGCTCTGACAGTGCTTTGACAAGCTTTGACATTAGTGTCATATTGTACACTGCATTGTACTGTACATTGTTTATACAAAAATGGTGTCGTATACCAAACCGATATGATTTTAATGTACGGAGAATGCAGAAAAAATGCTTTTGCTGCAATGAATTTGTATGCCCAACGTTTCCCGAATAGACGACATCCTAGTGACATGATTTTTAAACGTCTTGAGAGGGAGCTTAGAAGAAATTGGCCTCTTCGTAAAAGAAGAAGACAACGCACTGCTAGGTCTTTAGAAAATGGAGTTCGTGTAATAGCTTCCGTGGCACAGAACCCACAAATCAACCAGAGAAGTGTGGCCCGAGAAGTTGGCATCAGCCAGACTTCAGTTTGTCGAATTCTGAGAGAAAATAAATTTCATCCCTATCATGTGCAGCTAGTACAAGAACTTAAGGAAACTGATTTTGAACGGAGATTAGATTTTTGCCACTTTATCAGAACCCAAATGCAAGTTGACAATAACTTTAATTCAAAAAATTTTATTCAGTGATGAAGCCAAATTTTCTAACAATGGTAGTGTTGACAAGCACAACTGCCACTACTATGCTCAGGAAAATCCACTGTGAATACGTGAAACACATTTATTTTCAACGAATTGTTTCGGTGAACGTTTGGTGTGGCATCTTCGGAGATCGGATAATTGAGCCTTTTTTCTTCCAAGAAAATTTGACGGGTGAAATCTATTTAAATTTTTTGCAAAACATATTAGGGCCAATTTTGGAAAACTTACCATTGGCTGTCTATCGTGGTTTGTGGTTTCAACATGATGGGGCACCACCACATTACCATAGACATGTTAGGCAGTACCTAGACCATATTTATAATCAGCAGTGGATTGGTAGAGGGGCCGTTAATGCTTAGCCACCCCGTAGTCCGGACATGACTCTTTTAGACTTTTTTTATGGGGTGCTGCGCGACAGCTTTTTACACCCTGGAAGAGCTACAGGAACGCATAACCGACTCAATCCATAATGTTTCGCCTGAACTTTTACAACGTGTTCGGAGGTCTTTCCTCAATAGAGTAGCGGCTTGCGAACAAGCAGGAGGCCAGCATTTTGAACTCCTTCGCTAAAAATCATTGTTTTGTCTTCCTGTTTATCGTCGCAATTTATGATTTATAAAATGTTTGCCTACCTTTAATGTTTCATTCTTTCATACCTCATTTTGGAATGGGTTTACACCAAAAAGTCTCCTCTAATTTCTTTGTCATTCCGCGAGAACTGAATGGCACTAATGATCGTTCTCTGCGTTAATGTCAGAGTGACATAAGATGATAACTTGGATTCAATTTGGTAATCCAAATTAAAATTGGATCACAGGCGTAAATGAAATTTGTTTTTTGGGTTGCATCGCCCTGTATACAGGAGCCAGTCTTAATAAATTTTGACATTGAGTAAATGTATTATCTGTAGTAATATCATAAGTGGTAAAATTTTGTCGGCAAAATTTTCAGATTGTACGGGAGTTTGTTGCATAACAATTTATAGAGTTACATTGTTAGAAAATCCTCGAGTCGCAGACGAGAGGTTTTTGAACAATGTCACGAGCTAAATTGGTAACAAAAACTCGAGTAAATCAATCGAAAAATTTTGCCAGACCAAATTTTAGCACGAATGGTATTCGGAGGACTATTTCATGAATAAAACTACACATTGAAGTCTACAACTATTTATTCTAAATATTAAATGTACAATTATTGTAAACAATTTTACTAGAAATGTCGTTATTTTCACTTGTGACAGACGTTTTATGAGTTTCTGACTCTATTGTTGATGAGGTACCTCGTAAGCTCTCTAAACGCCGAATCTAGTAAAATTTCTGCTAGACGATTTATTGGAGTATCGGTAGTCAGTTCATAATTTCTTTCTTCGCAGAACTGAGAGAATTGCTTCCATATACAAGTCTTCGTCTTCATCTGTTTTGGGGAACACTTATTGAACTTGCAAATCGCGTGTTTTCAGTCATTTTTCAAATTAAATGAAATAACTGTCAAAATATTTAAAACGACAGAAGTTGTTTAGACTGTTACCATGCAGGTAAAATTTTATCACTTTAAAAACTGGCTTGGTTTCGATTTTGTTCGTAAATATCCTTCACTTATTGGCTCTAAATATAAGGTGAAGGCGATAAAATTTTGCTTTCATCAATTTTATCGATTGAAATTTTTTACTCATTGTTGAATGACGAGATGTTATTGGCCGAAATGTAAATGAATGAAATAGTCAAGCAAAAACAGGTCGATTAGGATCGCGAGGGGGAAGTTCAAAACCAACATTAGTTACATTTTGAGTTTCATTCCCTAGTCGATAGCCATCCCTACTTTAAAATTTTAAATGACACCCCCTACTTTTTAAAACATTTTCGGAAAGGGAAAAAGTGCCTAACTGTCAAAAAAAATTTTTGTCGATTTGTTTTTCTGTTAAGGGTGGTTTATTTTTTTTAACTTTTAGTCTTAGTAGCCTTTGATTCAACTCAATTTAATTTGAAACTTAAATGTAGTAACTAATGTTGGTTTTGCACTTTCCACTCGCGATCCTAATCGACCTGTTTTTGCTTGAAAATATATTTACTCAATGTCAAAAGTTATTGAGACTGGCTCCTTTTGAAATGAAAGCCCTGTAATTATTATCCATAAAACTAGTTTTAACCTAACCTGAGGATGACCACTTGGTGGTTTTCAAACGCGTCGTGTTAATCAAGCAATTGAGTCAAAAAAAGGATTTTCAAAACAAGTTGGACACAACATTTTTTTTGCATAGTGATAACCTCAAGAACCCCAAAGACCAAAAAGATATCAATTCAAATCGTAATATAACGCGAGCTATTTGTAACGAACTCTATAGAAACTATAAAAATATAACTATAGAAATCGTTTAAAAAAGTATAACTTTCTATACGATTAATCGTGTCAAATTACTCTCTTTAGTGTCTCTCACTCCAAGTTACGAAGCAACCTTCTTACTTTATAGATCTTGGATATACACATGTAATCTGCACGCTCTATGGGCGCCATTATTTGTTCCTTACAATGCAACCAGCAGTACAATTAAATGTTTCTATTGCATAATCACCTACTTGCCTACCTCAGTGAAAATAAGTATGAATGAATAAAACACAATCAATAGTGAATTTTTTTTTAAAGTCTAAATAGTATTATTACTTTTGAAACCGTTTTTTTAACGGCGGTCCCAATAATCGACTGATTAAACTGTTTCCATCAGCGAATAAAACCGAAGTTTCGTATAAGATTCAGTGAAAAAATCAATGAGTTACAGAATACAGAATAACACCAACTGCAAGTTGCAGACTATCAGTAAAGTGATCAAGCCAAGACATTTTACATTTATGTCCTGAGTTGTCTCGATTTAGGGACCAACACATTTAAGGTGCAATTTTTTTGAGATTTTTCTTTTCTGCGAAAACAAAGTATCTTTCATCAAGTTGAAGTCTTCTTTTTGTCGTCAATTTTGATTTTGAATTGTCTGAAGTTGATCACCTTATATCAGATTTCAGATTTTTGTTATTATTATTGTGTTGCATTTTGCATTATTTACCACATCTTCCTTTATAGATCTTGTTAGGTATGCTTCTAGCCTTTATTACTCAATATTGCAACTCAATGTTGCATCGTGTTCATCGGGTAATTTTACGTCTAATAAACCTTATTTCAAGCGCGAGAAATGTAAAAAACGTTATATGGATCAATTTTAAAGTTTTTTTTTTAATTTTTGTCGACACTTTGGTCAATTTTTGGCACCCGGAGCGGTCTATTTATAATAACTCCGTACTTCTTAATGACAACCGCTTAGGTTTGGTACCATTGGAAAGAAAATTTAACTTTCTATCATATACAAACAAATCAAATAAAAAATTAATAAAATTATAACAAAATAAACTTATATTTTTTTATCTATGCATATATTTTATTTATTTTACCCTTAATAAAAAATATTTTATTATTATTTATTTTACAGAATTCTAGTTTTTTAAATTAATAATATGTTTGGTTGCATATCCTATTTTAATAATAATAATCTGCCTAGTTTTAAGTTTTTTTTATATTAGTGTTGTTTCTCCCTCCACGGTTTGTCCACGTTTGACATCCTTAACCTATGCAACTAACAAAACACTTCATACCAACTTCATTATGGATATTACTAAAATGATTGGGATTTTTTCGTCATTGGTATCATTGGTTACCAAATGGCGGCCTCCATGCAGCGTGTACTTTTATTGGGTGTTTATAGGAGCATTTTATTTTACGAATTCCGTGATTAAGCACAATGCAGCCAATTTTTGGTCGGCTGTAATTTCCATCTTGCAAGCAAGATTTTTTTGTTATCTTCACCAAGGTGATTTTCGCGACGTACGTCATCCGATGCTTAAACAACAATATAATGCATTTTTTAAATTGTTGTTCACAAAAGATTTTTTTAAAAACAAATAAAAAATATCAGACGTACAGCCAATTGCTGGTCGACTGTATTTTCGATCTTGCCAACAAGATTTTTATAGCTAACTTCACTGAGGTCCAAACATTTAGGTATTTTTACATCACCAATATAAATTAACAAGAAAAAGTTTTGTTTTTATATTGAAAAACAAACATTTTTTTCTTTAAATTCAATCAAATAAATGAAGATTAAAGGTAAGAGTAACAATTATTCCACATTAACAACCAAATACTTTAAATTTTACTTGTAGCTAACTTCACTCCTAAACACAGCGTCAAAGCGACATAACCGTTAAAAAAGAATGTTTGAAATTCAACATTTTAGTCGTGTTTTTCAGCAAGCTTAAATATTGTTTGTGTTTTATGCAAGTTCTGAATTATTTCTTCTGTCGTAAAAATGCAAATGAAAAATAAAGAAACAAACGGTGAACAGTTAAACAACAGCCAAGTCGAAGAAGACTTGAATTTTTCGGATGAAGAGGGTACCTATGTGGACGATATTTACATTCCACCACCGCTAAAATGTAATGAAATTGTAAAATCGCCAACACGTTTAATTATCACAAAAATCGTAAACAACTTCTTCAAAAGTTATGCTGAAAATGTGATTTTGGGGCCTTTCTCTAAGGTATGTTTGTGATGGTTTGGAATCAAACTAATCTTTTATTGTAGTGTTTTAATGCCATCATTGGACCAAATGGTAGCGGCAAAAGCAATGTAATCGACTCAATGCTGTTTGTATTTGGATATCGAGCCACTCGCATGAGGTGCAAAAAATTGTCAGTGTTGATTCATAATTCTGAACAACATCGCAATGTTCCATCTTGTAACGTTGCTGTTCATTTTTGTGAAATCATAGATAAGGTACAACACACTATATTTCATATAACAATGACTAAAAAGATGTTTTTTAGCCAGGAGAAGAGTTTGAAGTTGTTCCAGGGAGTGAATTTGTAGTTTCAAGAACTGCAAACAGAGATAACAGTTCTTTCTATGAGCTTAATGGACGAAGAGTCCATTTTAAGGAAATTGGGAAATTGTTAAAGGGTCATGGAATTGATATAGACACCAACAGGTTTCTGATTTTACAGGTTTGCAATTATTTTTCTCTTTGAAGTGCTTTATTTTTACTTAAAATTTCATTAGGGTGAAGTTGAGGAAATAGCAATGATGAAATGCAAAGGTGCTAATGAAAATGAAATAGGAATGTTGGAATATTTGGAAGATATTATTGGAACTCACAGATACAAAGTAAGTTAAGTGTTTAACATAATAATAAATCAAGAAAAATCATTTTTACTTTCCTTATCCTATAAGGAAAGTATTGTAATTGGTTGAAATTTCGACCTACCCAGATTTTTACATTTCTGGACGAATTATACAGGTGTTCCGTCTAAACCCCACATTAGAAGTATTGGGAGTTGGAATAATCGTATTTATTTGAAAATTGGTTCATACCCATAAACCATTAAGTCCTCCTAAATGAAAATATTTTTAAGATGGCGGCACTTCCGGTTATACCGGAAGTCGGTCTCAACTTTCTTATTTTTAATGGAAAGGTATATTTTTTACTGCGTTTTTGGATTCATCGGGTTATTTTAAGGGAGTTTTCATCAGCTTTCCCTATACCTAAATTTAAATTTTGAAATATTTAGTTTTTCAAAAATTTTTGGATCTGCACCTTCCACTTTAAAAATGGGTAACTCTACCATTTTTTAAGATTTTGAATTCGTTTTTTTGGCCTTTGAAAGAGAAAGCTTAGATCCTTTTTCTGGTGTTTTCAAATTTAAAAAAAAATAACATTTCTCAAAATTTTATGGTTACTTTTGTAACAATTCAAATACTCATAACTCAATTTTTTCAAATGAAATATCCAAATTTTTATTTTACTAAATAGAAGAGAATTTAATAGTGCATTGATCTGTATCAACATTCCCTATACCTAAATGTAATAATTTTCAAGTTATGGACTTTTTTTAAGACCACAGAAAATTTATTACTATCCACACATCTGTTTTCACCATCGATCTAGTAATTCAATGGATGGAGCAGTGTGCGTATGCAACCACCGCTGGAGGTGTTTCCAACATGAAGTCACGTGACGGGTGGCAAAAGCCTGCACATATTCTGTACGTTTAAATGTATTTCGCGGAAGAATTTCGTAATTTTAATTAAAAAATTGCTTGTTTCAAAGCTTTCGCTCTAGAGAATGCTTTGTCATTTATATTAAAGGCTTAAGAAAGGGCATAATAAAAAAGTAACCTTGTAAAAAGTACAAATATCTCATTATTTGAAAATAATTGGTAAAAATAATTTTCGCAACTTTTCTCTGTAATATATCAAACATGCATATTACAGGGTAAATCAAGTTTTATTCTGATCCTCAAAACATCCCTTTCTAATTGTAAAAAATGTGATTTTTTCGTTAAATGTTTTTTATGCTTTATAAAACAGATAAATTGATAGAACAAGACTTTTTCCTAATAAGGTCAGATATCAATTTAATGTTTGTACTATACATTTGTAATTTTGTTTCATGTTCTAAAAGAAGGTAATTGACTGCGGGAACGATTTGATTCACCCAGTATTATAAAAAAATGTCTTGTAGTACCTTTAGCAAACTTAAAGAATCCCTGAAATTTTATTTTTTCTTTCAAATAAAACAACAAATCTTGAAACTTGAAAAGACTTATTTTCTTTTATTGACAACATTGTTTTACACTTAACAATTTAATTTTTGCTTGATAGCTTTGAATTTCTTTCTTTACCACTTGCCATATAGTTTTTAAATCTTCTTGTTTATAATCCCCAAAATAAATAAGTTGTCTAATATGTTTTCTATAAAGACAATTCATTTACTTGCAATAAATACTATTTTTATGCTACCGTGTACCTAAGTTTCACCTCTTTATTTGCTGCATCAGGTACAAAAATTTGTTGTAAAGCAATTATTGCACCTGTTGCAGTACTCAAAGGACTAAAATTTTAAATACTAAAATACTTTTGTTAAATTTGAGAAATTAAAAAAAAATACTTTTTGTAAATGAAGATAATATAAAATAATAAAATTTAATATCCAACAGACTAAACCAAAGGACGATGTGCGTACAACCTACTTTAAAAACAATAGTAATATGTTGAATTTATCTTGTTTATGTATAAACATCCAATTTCTATTTTTTTTTGTGTTCTTCAACTGCTACATTATGTTTTCGTGTCTTTCGTTTTTTAGCAGTCGGTTTTTTTTAATGAATAGGGTGAAAAATCAAAAACTGACGGTACAACATCATATTTTAGGCAATTTCTACTAAATTGCTTGTCACAAATTCACATGCTACTTTAACCGAATGCAAAACGCAAAAACATAGGTAATTAGGTACGCTAATATTTACGAATTAAAAGAAACACCTTTCGTTGCTCTTTGCGAACAACCATATACGCACGATTTTACCATTCTAATAGTTTTTAATCATAATTTATAAAATATCTATATAATATGTATAAAATGTTTTAATTAAAGTTTTTATGAACAATTTCTTTCAGTTTTTAACACAAATAATGACGAAATCCACTACTATGCACTACAATACATATGGGTCTATCGGGTTTCTTGCCACTCCTGATGTGACTTTCTATTGCGTTCTCTCTCGCTCTGTGTTTATAACGCTACCTCTTTGTCATCGCTCCATCCACTCAAGTACTATATCAATGGTTTTCACATAGTTTGCTATGGAAATCAAAAATGTCAAAACCGTTTCTCAATAAACGTCGACAGTGATTTATTATTTGACAAACAGTGCCAAAATATGGAGAATCAAAGTTATGCAAACTTAATTATTATCCATGCGATCATTATTTAAAGCTAACAAGTGAGAAAAATTTATTTTTGTTTAATGAACGACATCATAATTATGTTACACTCTCCATAAATACAAAATAAATTAATTAAATCTAAGTTTGAGTAGCTTTGACTCTCCATATTTTGGCACTATTTGTTGAATAATACGTCACTGTCGACGTTTATAGAGAAACAATTTTGACATTTTTGATTTCCATAGCAAACTATACGAAAACTGATGTGGCTAGTAATAGATTTTCGGCAGTTTTAACAAAAAGTCACTATAACTTAAAAATTATTAAATTTTGGTATAGGGAATATTGATACAGATCAATGCAGAATTAAATTCTTTTCCATTTAGTAAAATAAAAAATGGGGTATTTCATTTGGAAAAATTGAATTCTGGGTATTATTTGAATTATTACAAAAGTGAGCTTAAAATTTTAGGGTTTGTTAATTTTTTTTCAAAACCAAAAGAAAGATCTAAGCTTTCTCTTTCAAACGCCAAAAAACAAATTCATAAATTTAAAAAATAGCAGAGTTACCGATTTTTAAAGTGGAAGGTGCAGGGAAAGCTGATGAAAACTCCCTTAAAATAACCCGGATTAATCCAAAAACGCAGTAAAAAATATACCTTTCCATTAAAAATAAGAAAGTTGAGACCGACTTCCGGTATAACCGGAAGTGTCGCCATCTTGAAAATATTTTCATTTAGGAGGACTTAATGGTTTATGGCTATGTACCAATTTTCAAATAAATACGATTATTCCAACTCCCAATACTTCTAATGTGGGATTTAGACGAAACACCCTGTAGCTTCAAGACACCAACAAAGTTGGTTTGGGCGTGTGTGTGTGTGTCTGTCTGTCTGTAAACAGCATATCACGAGAACGATAAGAACTACAAACTTGAAATTTGGTATGTAAATTACTTGTAGCAGGGGAGACGTAGCACGAAACAATTGGTAAAAATCGGTCGCACCGTTCGGCCACAAAGAACAAAAATCAAAATTATACGGTTGAAGATACTATAAATAAATTCATGGGGATAAAATTATTTTGAATTATGAAATATACCTTATTAAATAGTAAAATGTGATAAAATAAAATAAATCATGGGTACCGAACTAGACTCGAACCTGCGGCAACTATGATCTATTTCGTGTGTAATCCGGCAGGTGGCACTAACGCAAATTATTGTCGTTATTAAGATGTTTTTCAAATAAGTTGGATAAGGAAAGTCGTGTGATGTTCACACCAGATTTTTTTCTTGTAGAAACCCTTGGAGCAATTAACTGATAGAATAGAGTACTTGTCGGATTTACGTACAGAAAAAGTCAATAGACTTACATTAATTGAAAAACAGTTAGAACAACTCAGAGGACCTATGGAAGAAGCACTTACTTTCTTAAAAACGGAAAACAAAATTGTCGTTTGTAAGAATTTTTTACACCAAAAAGAACTGTTAGTTTAGTTTGTTTTGTATTTTCAATTTATAAAAATCCTGTTTTTAGTCATGATTTAGAATCACAAGTAAAAGAGGTCGAAGAGGACAAAACAAAATTGACACAAAGTCGCGATGGTTTAATTGCAAAATTGAAAGTTATTTCACAGGAAAAAAGTGAAAAAGAGGCAATTTTGAAACAAGAAGCTGGGTAAAAATCACTTTTTGGTTTGTTTTAAATAATTTATTAGTGTTTTAGAAAATATGAAAAGCTACAACACAAAAAAGATCAACTCAAGGATGCTTACAATGCAGCTGATAAAAAAGATGCACAACTTCAAGCTGAAATGACAAATACTAACAACAATAGGAAAAAGTTTAAGCAACAATTGGAAGGGGAAAGAAAGAAACTTATTAAATTGGAAAAAGTGCCTGAGGAGAATGCTCAAGTAATAATAATCATTGTTTTGGATTATTATTAATTTTTCTTATAGCTTATTGTAGAATGTGAGAAGCGAGATGCCGATTTAGCCTCAAAACACGAAAACTTACAAGCAGAGAAGGCAAAATTAATGGAAAATATAGGCCATGAAACAAAAGACCTACAAATTAAAAAAGAAGAGTTTGAAACGAAACTTGGAAAACTGAAAAAAACAGTTGACACAACAAAAAATGATGTAATATTTTTTACTTAAATTAACGCAAATTATCATAGTTTTTTTTTTTAGTATGATTTGGCTTCAACTAGATTAAATTTCGCCCGAAGTAGTGAAGAAACAGAACAACAAAAATTAGAGCAACTTCGTGAAATGGTCAAAAACAAAGAAGCTTCTATTAAACAACGTTCCGAAGAGGTGGCACAACTTAAAAGGAAAATTCCTCTTACTGAAAAATCGCTTAATGATGCCCAAAATGAATTAAATGTTATTAAATCCGAACAAAATCAAATTGAGAAAGAAATTACACGTCAAAGAATGTCTTTAGAGGAAACACGTGCTTCAATGAACAGTTCTAAATCACGTGGAAGAATTTTAGATGCTTTAATGCAACAAAAACGTGAAGGAAAATGTCCGGGATTGTATGGACGTCTTGTAAGTGGAAAACAAAATCGAAAATTTGGGCTTATCTAATTATTTTTTAGGGCGATTTAGGAGGCATTGATAAAAAATACGACGTGGCAATTTCGACAGCTTGTGGACCACTAGACAATATTGTAGTTGATACAGCAAACACTGCCGAATGGTGTATCAATTTTCTAAAAACACACGGTATAGGAAGAGTTACGTTTATTGCACTAGATAAGCAGGAACATTTGAGAGATCATGCCAACACTAGAATTCAAACGTAAGTAATTTGAAGTTGGGGAAAATCAATTTCATGTGAAAATTTCAGACCTGAAAACGTCCATCGCTTATATGATCTCATTCAAGTGCAAGACGATACAGTCAAAACTGCTTTTTACTACGCGCTAAGAGATACTTTAGTTGCGGATGATTTGGATCAAGGCACCAGAATTGCATTTGGTGCTCAACGTTTTAGGGTGGTAACTCTGAATGGAGAAATTTTGGAACCTTCAGGTACCAAAATACATTTTTTTTATTTTGCGTGTTTACCAAGGCTATTAACGAACTCGTTTGAGTGTGTTAACAGCTTAGTGTATTTTTTTTTTAATGTTGGTGCCAGTGTCGTTGGAAACAAATTGCTTCATGTTGTTACCAATTTCCCGTATTTTTGAAAAAATCTTGAGAATTCACGCACAGTGTTAAAAAAAATTCAGTTTCAGCGACTTCATAATACGTATTACCAACTGACGCAAAATTCCCTAAATTATTTATTTTTAAAACAGTATAAAAAGTACAAAATTTAAAAATCTCTCAAAACATCCTTAAATGAGATGTTGTTGGTGTTTATTCATAATAATTATCGTATGCCACGGTTTGTTTTCTGTCGTAAGTTACATAAAACTTGTTTTGACATTTCTCATATGTCATTGGGACAATTTACACAATACATACAGGGTGGTCCGAAAGGCTGGAAACGATGTTAAATAAATATGTACTCCAGATAGCAAAAAATAATTAAAATTAACAACGTAATTAACAAACTTAAAGATATTTATCATTACTAATGTGATTAAATTTATTAATTAAGAATGCATTTAAACTTCTACAACCTACTTGATGCACATTAATATAAAAAAAGAGTATTTTCAACATTTCTACGCTTGCTTGATAGAAGGTCTGTTTGATCTCGCTGTATAAAACACTTATTCAGTGTTGCCAGGTATGGTGAAATTTCACCAGATCCGATGATTTTCATGTTAGTCTGGTGATTTGGTGAAAACTTTTGTAAAAATTCTAGTATCTGGTGATTTTTTTGCAAATGAAAAAAAAAATGGTTTTTGGGCATTTTTTACGTTTTTAACCAGGAACTTGATTATTTCGTTAATTTTTTCCAAAATATTTGAAAAACCGCCAAATTGATTAAAAAATTTTTTTACAAGATTACAGGACAGGACGGGAAAATGACAATTTATTTTTGTCTTTTTTGAATATTTTTTCAGTTAAAAACACCATTATTTCGCAAAATTTCGTTATAAACGATTTAAAAATTCCACCAAAAACGACGTTTTCAAGTTTTTAAGCACCTTTTTGGGATAAAACAGGACACAGGAAAAAAATTACAAAATTAAATTGAAATTAATATTAATTATTTTTAGCTTGATTTGGTCGACTTACTTCGTTTTTGAATCAGAGGTTTATTTATTTTACAAAATTTTGTCCAAACACACTTAAAAATCACAAAATCAATTGACATTGATGTTATTTTGTTTGTTTCATTCTATTAACTGGTTTTGGGCAAAATACAAAAATAAACTAAGAATGTTTTCAAGCACGTTTTTGTACTACAATCTCAGGTTTTTTGCGAGATTTTGCTAAAGCGAACTGTAAAATCAACAAATTAAGTCTAAATTTTCATTAATTTTATATTTCTTGAGAGTTTTAGCACGTTTTTCAGCTAAAGACGCACATATTTCCCAAAATTTTGTTAAAAACAAGCCAAAAAAAAAAAGAATTTGGCCGAAAATGATGTAATTTTTCCTTTTTCAAAAGTTCAAGTAGATTATTTCGTCAAATTTTCTCGAAGAAAAATTAATCGAATACCACCAAATTGGTTAAAAATTGTTCTATTTGTTTTTACCAGATATTAATAAACGAGTCGAAAATGACAAGTTATTTTTGATTTTTCTGAATGCTTTTTCAGCTAGAAACACAATTATTGTGCAAAATTTTGTTAAATACAAGCCCCAAATTCAACAAAATAGCCCCAAAAATGCTTTTTTTTTGTCTTTTTGAGAGATAAAAACACAAAAAGTTCGAAATATTGCATTAAAACAGGTTAAAATATTATAAAATGAAATCGAAATTGTTATAATTTTTTAGCTTGTTTCTCCCGATTTAGTTCGTTTTTGCACCAGAGGTTCATTTATTTTGCAAAATCTCAAATTGATTCATTGATATTGATGTTACATTGTTTGTTTCACTCGATTTAACTGGTTTTTAAGCAAAATTAAGACAAAAATAACCTGAGAAATTACAAAATTTGACCGAAAATGCTTTTACATTTTTATACTAAAATTTCAGGTTTTTCGCTTGATTTCGCTAAAATAAACTAAATAATCAAGAAATTAAGTCTAAAATTACATTATTTTTGTATTTTTTGAGCGTTTTAGTACGTTAACGCGATTAATTCGCAAAATGTTTTTTGAAAACAATCCGAAAAATCACTAAATTTGCTTTTTTTAAGAGTTTCAAGCAGATTTTTAAGCTGAAAACTGCATTTTTTTGCGAGATTTTGCCATACAAATCGTAAACTGGTGAAAATTTGGTAAATTTTTCAACTCGGATCTGGTGAATTTTGTTTTTGATCTGGCAACACTGCACTCATTACAAGAGTTTTGAAATTCCGAAACGAGTCGGGTTGAGCAACAAACGTTTGCTTAAATAGATTTCTTTTTAACTTTTTTTAGGTACCATGAGTGGTGGTGGGAGATCCCAGATGCGGGGCCGAATGGGCCGTACCGTCCTCACATCCACTATGGATCCCAAAGAATTGGAAAAACAGCAAGCAAATCTTGAGAAAAAAGAAGAAGAATCAAGACGGTTGATCCAAAAAGTGACTTCTTTGGAAAATCAAATTAGGACATTAAAACCAGAGTTTGATGAAATGAAAATCAATTATACAAAATTCACAAAGGATCTTCAGGTTTTTGAATGAGACTTTGATTATGTTTGTTTGATTATTTGTTTTAGTCGCTGAATGAGGAACAGCCAACACTTTACCAAAAGTTACGCCAACAAGAAACAACTGTAAAATCGACTAAATCAGATCCTAAAGAAATTAAAAAATTGGCGGCAATTGTTGAACAAAAGAAAGCCGAATATGAGAAAGCTCTCAACACTATTCAAGAGATTCAAGCCGAAGTCGATCGCTTAAATAGTGCAATTCAAGAAAAAACAAGCGGAAAATTAGTAGGCGTTGAGAAAAATATTGATGAAACTGTGAATTTGATTAACAAGTGTAAAGCGGAAATTTCTCGACTTAAAGTTGCAATTTCAACATCTCAAAGGTTCGTAATAGTGGGGGAAAGTGTTTAAGTTGAGATAAATTTTCTAGGAATGTGGAAAAAACGACACAAAAAATCGCAACTTTGGAACAAAATATCGTCGACTGTGAAAACAGATTAAGAGCGATGAAGGAAGAGAGGGAACAAATTGAAGTCGATGGACAAAAATTACTCAAATGTATTGAAGATATTACTGAAAAGTTGACACAAGGCAAAGACGATAACACAAGTAAGTATTTGAAAATGTGGAAATTTCCAATTTTAAGTAATTTATTTTTAGCTTTGAAGGAAGAAGTAACTGCTCTTGTAGCCCAGGAGAAAGAACTGTTACTTAAGAAAGTCGATATTGATCAGGCGTTTAAAGTGATTAATAAAAAAATACAAGATTTTAAAGTTGCAATCAATCATTTGAACGCAAAGGTAAGAGTAATTTATAGAATAAAGTGCAACTTTCTCGCTCATTTTCTTTGTAGTTGAAGCAATTGAAAGTACACGACATTCCTGAAGAGCCATCTGAACTGAAAACATACACTGAAGAGGAACTAGAATCAATCAACGTCGAAAAAATGAATTTAGAATTGCATGCAGCCCAAAATTCGATAAAAGATATGGAGCCGAATCTCAACGTCATTGATGTAAGAATTCATAGTGTTGTAGAAATTGATTAAAGTTTGTTATAGGATTATCGCACGAGTCAAAACATTTATATGGAGAGGACTAGAGATCTTGAAGAAGTGACTCGAAGACGAAACGAAGTGAAAAACGTATTAGATAGAGTGAAAAATCAACGTCGGACTGAATTCATGGAGGGTTACAACACAATTCGACTCAAATTGAAGGAAATGTACCAGATGATAACCCTTGGAGGCGATGCCGACTTTGAAATTGTTGATCCTTGTGATCCGTTTGCGGAAGGTGTCCAATTAAAGTATGATTTATGTTGTTTTTCTTTTCTCTTGTTAGAAATGTAATTTTTAGTGTGAGGCCACCACGTAAATGTTGGAAAGTGATATCGAATTTGTCAGGTGGTGAAAAAACATTGTCATCTTTGGCTTTGGTGTTTGCTTTGCATTACTACAAACCGTCGCCTCTCTATGTCATGGATGAGATTGATGCTGCTCTCGATTTTAAGAATGTTTCGATCGTTGCTCATTATATTAAAGAAAGGACAAAGAACGCACAATTTATTATTGTTTCGTTGCGGGAAAGCATGTTTGAATTGTGTGATCTTTTAGTTGGTATTTACAAAACTTATAATTGCACCAAATCGATCACAGTTGATCCCCACGCGTTTGAAAAGGAACGGTAACAACAGAGTTTTTTATGTTATTGTTTAGTATTTGGCTTAAATAAAGTTTTTCATTTGTACAATAAAAATCTGATTGAACACATTTGCCCTTTCCACAAAGCAAACTACTTTAAAAAAATTCTTAGTCAACACAGGAACTTTAAATTCTTGCAGACTATGTTATAAATAATCCAAAGTAGTCTGAATTTCGTATTAAACAAGTCTGATTCATGTTCTGAATTATCATTAAAAAAAAGACTTGTTAACGCTCCCAAGTTAACTAACACAATTTTTTATTTGGGTACATGTTTTAAACAGTAAAATTTATAATTGACAAAACTATGAAGTAAGAATTTTTATTAACCACAATTACAAATTTCAAAACAAAGTCTAGAAATTAGTGAGCCAACTGGAAGGTGTGATCCCAACTTGGAAGTCATCAAATCAACGAAGAAGTTTTAATCCTAGAAAATACAACGTTTCATTTTAACTTCCACAAATAACATTAGAACACATTTGAAAATAAGAAAAATACAAGAACCACAATAAAAAAGAACGTAAAGTTGCTACAAAGGACTTTGGATAGGTTACCTATATTAAACTGCTATCATTTCACAGATATTTTATTTTGTACCTTTAGAAACGAAGAGCAATTTTAATTAACCTATAGGTACAATGATTAAATAACACTTACGATCTCATTTAAATTGTTACATGTTAATATTAGAAAAAAAATTGATTATATTTAAGATTTAAGCCAAAACTTACTACCATGCCTTATACCTTTGATTTTAGTCGATTTTTTGCCTTTCTCGCTAATAGCTGCAGCTTCTCTATTATCAGTAGCCATGGCCTCGTCAGTTCCATCGGATCGTTCTTGCAATTGAGTCTTCAAAGTCTTTTTAATGTTACTAATCTATAAAAAAAAATAAAAATAGAGAAATAAAAACCCAGAAATATGTGTACCTCCTGTTCCACTTCAGCTTTTCTCAGCATTGATTTATTTTTTTCATTATTTGCTCTATGAATTTGTGTTTCAACACAAGCCAAAACACCTTCACAGGCCGAACACCAGTCTTGAAGACAATTAACAATTACATTGATGTCTTCAGGGCGTATATCACGACCTATGGCATAATCAACTTCCAATTGACTATTTTTCTGGTCCAGTTTTCCATGGATAATGTCTGCATAAATCGCTTCAATAATTAAGTCTTCCAAATCACGCACATTTGTGATGCCCAATTCTTCCAGAAGAGTGTTGTAAGGAATACACTAGAAAAAAAAACACATCAAATCATGAAAACAATGATAAATTTTGTACTTTTGATTTAGTAGCCAACGTAACAATCGTTAAATGTTGAAGTTTTTTCTTCTGAGCTGGACTGAGTTCAATTAAATCCTTTTTATTTGCGAGATAATCCTTGTAGGTTCCATAAGCAAACAAGTTGAGAGTGTTGTAAAAATTCTTCTGAGGAGTTGTAGTCAACTACAAAACATTTATTTAATTGAATAATTAAGAAAAAAAAATTAAATTACTTCTTCAATATTTTGCATGTGAAGCAATTCGCCGAAAACGTAAACACCGGGGGCTTCCAACACTTGTTTTATAAGTTCGGAACAAGCGGCCCCTTTTGTTGATTTTGATAATAAAACAAATTGTTCCAGGGCATTACCAGGGAATGGGTTTTTTTCAACAACCATATTAAATTATTTGATATTTTTATACACAACTGACCAAATGTCACGCGCTGTCAAACGTCAAACAATTGCCATTGCTGTCAATGTGAAGCGGGAAATTTAAATTCCTATTGAAAGTCTATCATTGATTAAAAAAAGAAACAACAAACTAGAAAAAAACATCAACTAAATATTTTGCTTTCAGACAACATTTTTAATGCAGTGAATGTTTTTAGATTTGTTGCAATCGTTGCTAATAATTAGGTGCTAAGTTTGTTTGATCAATAGTACTTCGCTTTCTGGTAATCAGTTTATTACGAAAAATGTTTCGAAGTGAGGTAATTATAATATTTGCAATTAAATTTAAGGTACTTATGCTTTTATAAATGTTTATATTTTTAGTTGCAGGATGATGGAGATTTGCGTGCAGAGATTTTTCAGCTGAAAAAGAATTTATCCAACATCAACACAGAAAATCGCATGTTGAAGGTGAAAATACGCAAGTTACAGAATGAAATTATCAAAAAGGATAAGCAGATTGATGATATTTTGGATCCTAGAAAGGTATAAATGTGTCTAATATACTATTGCAAGTTTTTTTTAAACAATGTTCTCTGATATTTTAAGTAAAGTTTGCGTTGTTCTTTTAATTCTTTTGTAATTTTACTAGAAATGCCTACAATTATAATCTTGATGCTACTGTAATTCTGTAAAAAATGTCCTTTTGTGTGAAAAAGCTGTTTTAATTTTTTATTTCCCAGTTCGACAATTAATGTTCAGCCTATAAAAATAAGCTTGCTAAATACATGGTGCGCCAGAACTCACGCCCCAGAGAAAAATGCCATGTATACCTAGTAAGATACCAACAACATGAAAAAGATGTCAACAAAATTCTATCTATAAAAATTTCGAAGTGATAAGAGTTTAAAATTTGCACTTTGACTCTATTTCTATTGGAAAAATAATTCTCCAATTTTTTTTTTACTATATGCTGTAAAAAGAAGAAACAAAGAAGCTGTATCCTAAGTTGTAACTTTATTTAATGTAATTTGTGGCTTTTATGGCAAAATTTTTATATGCCTTTACTAAATAGGTACCTAATTATAAAAAAAAACATATACAATGTCAAATGTCAAGAAATAAATGCCAAAAATTTTTGACACATTATATTGCATCTCAAGAAGCTCGTTTTGGGCTTTGAGAAAGGTGCTTAACATTAAAAATTAACAAAATTCCACTTTTATTAATTATGTATTATTTCCTGAAGGCATATATTTAAAAATAATTTGAATATGTGCCTTTTCATTGCCTGTTATACATTAAAAACATCGAGAACTTGATAAATAACATTTTTTGTACAAAAATATTAAAAATGCATGGTGTATTTTGAACAAAATATTTTTAATTACTTAATTTTAATTTATTATTATTACTTATATGCAGGATGGTATCATATACAGTGTGTCCTTGGAAAAGTGAAACGACTCTTGTAAAAGATAAACAATTCTTGATTTAAATTTATTTTTGGTTTTGGTTAACCTGCTTGGTTAAAGATTAATTTCTAACATAATTTTAATTTTGAAAAATTTTGGAAATTAAAAAAAAATTTAAATTTTTCTATGTGTGAAGTGCTTTTTATGTGGCAAATACGACAAAAAGTTATTAAGCCAACATCTAGGCCCGTATACCAAATTTTAAAATTATCGGTCAACTATGATTTTGTTTTTGTTTATTTCACAAATCAAAGAATTTTCTGTTTTACAGTTTTTTTTATTATACAGGGTGACCCCTCTTGGCAGACAACACATAATACATTATGCACTTATTCCTTTATTCAAAATTAAATTTTCAAAATATTGAGAATCAAAGTCTGCCAAGAGGGGTCTAATGGGTCATTTAAGCTGAATCACCCTGTACTAATAAAAAAATTACATTTAGATTACATGTAATTAACTTTTTGACGTAAGCAATTATGAATATGTCGGAAAAAAGGAAATTAAAGTAGGTCGATGATTTTGAAATTTGGGCCTCCACAGAAAAATAAGTTAATATTTAATTTTTTTTAAGTTTAATTTAAATAATTTCTAACTGTTTTAGCCTATCGAAGTCTCTAAAATTCTCTACGAACGCAGCGCATCTTTTGTTTTAAATATGAAAGAAAAAAATGATGAACTTTTACAAATACTTCATGAAAAGGACATCATTATACGACGTTTGCAAAATCAACTTGGTGCCACCAAATTATATTCTCAGCCTCTACAAAAACAATTTCAGAGTAATAAATATTCCGATGATTTAAACTGGGACAACGAAACTGGACAAATCAAAAAAAAAGTGCCTTCTTTAAAAAATGTAGACCATAATTTATTTAACGGTGAAATAAAAACGAAAAAAAATAGAAGCTTATCATGGACTTGTTGCGTTCAGGAAGCTGAATCTAATTTAATTAAACACACTGAAAGGAAAAAAAGTAGCGTGAAGGGTAAGTAAACAAAAATAAATTATTAGATTAATTACTAATATTTTTATTTTAGACCAAAATTATCTAAATTCTCGCCAAACAAGTTCTAGGAAGTCTAGTCCGGAAAGTGATCTTGAAAGAATTGAACTTCTTTGTGAAAGTCCACATGAAGAAATTCAACAACTTCATTCATATTTCCTTGAAATAATTGCAGAACTAGACCACTTGAAAACTACTGTCACGGAATTACAAAATGACAAAGATAAAACTGACTCTGCTTTAAAGAAAGAGAAGTAAGTATCTATTTACTAGTGTGTTTTATTTATTTAACTTGTCTTAACATTTTTCAGTTATACGATAGATATGTTAGCTAAAGAAGTAAAAAACCTCAGATTCAACACACTGAAATCTAGTAAGAATTGTGGTAGCAGTCGTTTCCACAGTGCAGACTTAGTTGCAAAAGTGTATAACAACAAAAACAGACTGTCCAACAAAAGTGGAAAAGAAAAGAAAAACAAAGATAAATCCAAAGTAACTAATAACAAGAAAAAAGTGTCTGATAGTTCAAATGGTCTGAAATTTAAGCATAAAAATAAAATGCAAGAAATGAAAAGCGTGATGGTACAAGTTGATCAATTATTGGATGATACGGAATGTTCTAATCAATGTCTTTACGTTGAAAGAAATAACATTATAATAAAGGAAAAATCACCAACTTTTGAGGATAGAGAAGATGAGTATGCTAATGAAGTGTTTGAAGAATATGATACGACTGAAACACCAAATTAAAACATATTTGTATGTCTACTAATTATTATTTTATATTTGCTTTATTATTTTACATAATATGGAAATAAAGAATTAACTAAGTATTTTTAATTATTATTGCATTCCAATCGATTATGAACAAAATTGGTCATTCGCTAACATGCATGCTGGTGAATTATTTATAACTTGTTTGCTATCCAGTCTTACAGATGTTGTTGTTCCAATATTACTTATTCAATTTTGTATTGATTGGAACTCTATAAATAACATGATTGCTGACTTTTTAATTATTTAATGCTTACATAACAAACAAACCACATGTGGAAAGCTTCTCTTGAGATTGCTTATAAAAAATTGTTTTATTGTGAAGGTATTGGAGTAGATACTAACAAATTTGTCTAATATCCGATAGTAGAGTGAAACAAGCTTTTATTTTTCGGCTAGAATTTGGCTTGGTTGATTTCCATGTTTACAGCTACGGTTCACCCGCTAAAGATTTGATATTTTTCTTATTCTCAAGTGTCCAGAATGACGTAATTAAATTAAAAATTTTCTTCGGATGTGCATAAAAAGAAGTTGGAGTTGGTTGTGACAAAATTTGCAAAACGAAATTGGATTTAATTTTTAAAAATTGCAAAAATTATAAATAAAGTCTACAAAACTTTTAAAATTATATTTGTTTTTATTTTTTTTAGATTAAAACTTGTAAATCTTGATCTGAAATTTTTAGATATGCATAACAAAAAACGATTATCAATAATTTACTTAAAATCACGCACCGAACATGATGCAACAGGTTAAAATACTCTACGATTAATCGTTCGAGGTATTAAATAATAAATATAAAACATTTATTTGGTTTTTCCTCTAAGTCCGATAGTTTTTGAAAAAATGTATTTAAAATTTTACAATTCCGACAATTTTTACTTTTTAATTGATGAGTAGGTACCGAAAAAACTAAAGAAGTTATTATCTAAACGTGTTGGCTCTCTATTGAATGAAAAATTAGCTACTGATAATTATTATCTTTATGTGACTTTCTTACTATACATTTTAGGGTAAAAACACCAACAAATTCGTAATCAGCGCGTCAAAATCTACAAGATACAATAGGTTTAAACCGAATCTAAAACATGTTCACAAAAGCCATTTATTCTATTTTAGTCAATAATCATTTTTATACGCCCCTAAATGAGGGCATAAATTGGTTTTTATGGCACAGAACTGTCAAAAATCGGGCAAGTAACGGTTAGTTTTATTATTCAAACGATGGTATCAAAACTTGTCATATTCTTTCACATACAACTCCTTTGAGTTATGGGGAATCAATTTTCCCTGAAGTTTCAAATTCTTGTAAAATTTCTTCTGAATAAACGCTTTCTGCTTCAGAAACGTTCATTTCTGAAAATGAATTGTTTTTTTAACAAACGCAGTAACCTTAACAACATCAAAATAGCTAATTTTCTACACAACACTAAAATTTACATGGACACAAATTGTAGTTGATTCTAAATATTTGTTTGAATCTTTTAGAAATTATATGATTCTATCTTATAAAGCGTTACATGTTTCACGGACATAATTGTCTATTATAACCCTCAACAATTTAAAAACCCTCGTTCCTCGGGCTTTAAACATTTCCTTATGCCATAATCTCCTAATTATGCCTTTAATACATAAATAACTATTTTATACGGGGTGGTTTCTATTTTTTCTTATTTTGTAAATTACAGTTAAATTCAAAATAATAATAATAAACCATACGTATGTAAAATGTTCTGGGGAATCGATTGGCGTTGAGAAAAATGCAAAATTTGCAATAATTTAGAAGTTATAGTCGAATATATATTTTTGATATTCTTGAATTTATCAGCAATTTTCTCGAGAAGTATTTATCTTAGGATAATAATCTCAAAAATCTAAAAACTGAAAACTTCAAAATTGATTGAAATGCACTTTAAGGGGTCTGGAAGTGCATAAAACATCGTAGAAACACAAAATTTTTTTTTTTTAATTTCATATAAATAGAGCAGAATACATTCCGGGAGCTTGGTGGTGTAGTGACATAAGGTCACTACTTCCGGTAGGTAGGTCCGGGCTCAGGTCGGGTCAGGTCAGATCAGGTCAAGAGCATAGCGCATAAGCATAAAAGCATGAGAGCTTTTTTATTGCAAATCAATGTTTTTGATTTTTTTAAAAAGCAACATATTAATGGTTCAATTTTTTCAAAATCGGAAATTTTACATTTGGACCAAATGACTTTACAAAACGAGTTTTACAATAAAAACATTCAAATGTTTTAAGTTTTAAATTTTCTTTCCTTCGAGATGCCACACAATTTCTTCTTTCCCCGCCTCTCGTGCCACATCTAACGCCGTCTTCTTCCAACAATCTTTAATCTCGATCTCTGTTCTTGCCTCTACAAGATCTCCAATCATATTCCCATATCCTTTTTTCGCCGTCCAATGAAATGCGGTCCGCCCCTGACAGTCAATTTCATACTCAAATCTTGTTTTTTTTTTATCAAAAAACACATTGTTTCAGTACATCCTTTTAAAGCCGTTTCATGTAAACATTTTATTTTTATTAGTCGCTTTCCAATTTGCTCCTTTTTCAACCAAAAATTTAATTAATCATTTGCTGTTTTTGATACGCTTTTTGAAAGGAGAAATAAGTTGAGAATGATCCGAAATTGAAGCTAGATGTAACGCCGTTTGACCATCCTTGTCGATTTCTTTGATGTTTAAACCAGAATTTAAGAGTTGCTCGATTTTTGACAAATTGCCCGTTTTTGCAGCTTGGTGTAGTTCGGTTTTATAATGGGTTTCAGGTATATGACTAAAACAAAAAGAAAATTTGAATAAATGTAATTTACCTCTTTTTTTTGTTTTTGCAAAGTGTGTACAATTGTCTTGTGTCCTTTTTCTTGTGCCAGGTCTAATGCCGTTTTCTCGTCGTCATCTAAAACTTTTTCGTTTCACTTTCTTTGGATAACTTTTCAACATTTGAAAAATTTTGATTCAAAATGGTCAAATGCAAAGGATCGTTTTCAGCCATTTCAACATTGAAAAAATATCTGATTCCAATATATTGTGGTTTAGAGAGAAATTGCTACTTCGGAATTTCCTTAACATTGTTTTTCAACCAAATCGCTGCGAAATATTGAGCAATGTAAAATGTACGAAAACAAACCGATTTTCCGAATTCACTTTAGAAATAAGTTTGCTGAAATCACCGTTTTGTTTCAAGACTTCAACAGAAAAAGCGTCATTTTTAACTTTCAATAATATATTTCAAAATTTAGTCAGTCTTGTCCTCGGTGTCGTTCTTACATTTCATTCGTACTCCTATATGACTTATCGGACTTCTCATAAGATTCCCACAGGATTGTTTACATTGGTATTCTTTTTCACATAGTAATGTAAAATATAAGGAAGTGAATATCTATACCTAGTAACATTTTCACCTCAACTTCTCGTTGTCAATACATAATTAATCATATAATGTTTAGCTTGGAATAAAAATTACAACCTTGCAATTTTCTTGATGGAAATAAAATAAGCACGTCTGATCATAATTACAAACAAATGAAATAATTCTTAAATTATATGGTAACACACAGCGACTTTTTCTTAGAAAAGTCTTGCGTTCGGTTGAGTTTTTTTAAATGATGTAAATATATTTCAGTTGTATTTTCTTATAACCATCTTTAATAAGTTGCTTAAAATTGTGTGTCAAAGTGAAGTCTTAGCACAGCATTATTTCATGCATATAATCATATAAACAGTATACGAAGGTTGCTCCCTTAATATTAAACTTAACTAAGAAGCCATAAGTATTTGACCTAAGTTATATTATAAAATTTTGTGGTGTTTCGTTTGCATTAATCAATCAATTTTCACATTTCATATTTTTAAGCGTTAACTAAGGCCTTAAAAATATATTAATGAAACTAAAGGCTAGTTTCATAATTTTTGTCAACAAGTATATAGTAATCATCACATTCTAAACAACATTTAATTTAATGCTTCGTTAAAACAAAGTGTTTATTAGAATCAATTAATTAATTTAGTCCTTGACGTATTATTTTTAAAAACCAAAAAAAAAACAACATTGCTGCAAGAGATTTTATAAAATTGTAAAATACAGGTGCGCCAGGACTTGCACCCCAGAGAAAAATGCCATGTGAAGATACCAGGAATATGGAAAAAAATGTTAAAAAAATTTTATCTACAAAAATTTCAAAGTTATGAGAGTTTAAATTTTGCACTTTGACTCTATTTATTTCTGTTGTAAAAATAATTTTCCAAATTTTTTTGCACAGGCTAATGGAAGAGGAAACAAGGAAGCTGTATCCTAAATTGTAACTCTGTTTAATATTATTTGTGGTTTTTATTGGTAAAATTTTTGTATCTTTACTAAATAATTATGAAAAAAACATATACAAGATTATCAATATTATTAAATAGACATAAAAAGTCAAATGTCAAAAAATAGTTGGCAAATTTTTTTGACACATAGAATTTTTTTAACATTTTTTCTATGGACTTGGTATTTTTCTTTGGGGCGCGACTTCTGACACACCTTGTATGTTTGAAGAACTTGTTTTTGTAGAAGAGCGGTAATAGTCTTCGTATACAATGTATCACTTGTTTTGATTTTTTTAATTTTTCCAAATTGCTCCTTGTTTTCTTTAAATTAATTTTTCCAGTGTTTTTTTCATTACTTTAAATGCTAATTGATTGATTCTTTTTTAATACAAGTCTTTCACAAACTTTGTTAAATTTTTTGCCTGCATAAAACATGTAAACTTTTTATGTGTTATGTTTTTTCTTAAGCATTTTTTTCTGAAAATTTTTTTAAAATCCATTTGTTTAAAATTAAGACAAAGGGAAATTTTAATGACTTTTTTATTGATATACAATCACATTTTTATAGTATGTACAGTGGCGACCATAACATTTTGGTAGGAAATGTCATTTTGAAACTTTATCTTTTTGTCAAAAAAAGTGGTTTCCCTGTGTAATTTTGACAAAAGGGTACTCGTATATTAGGGAATGACATTAATTACTAAAATTTAATGCTCGCCATTGTACCTACATTAAATTAAAACATTTGCTTATTCTGTATACAGGCTGTTTTTATTGTTACAAATTTAAACAAGTGATTGAATATTCAATTTTAAGACAAAAGTTTCCTATAAACATGTTTCGAAAAATTCTTTGTAACCCTTAAAACCTCAATATTTCAATATTTCAGAGTAGATAAAATTACATAATTTGGTGCAGCTGAACCTTTAAACACCTTAGGAAGCCTCTGATTAAAAATTTCAACATTTTATCTTTGAATTCGTTTAAGTGTATAAAGATTACTATCTGTACCAAATTTTGTAATTTTATCTTTTTTGAAATATTGGAAAAACGTGGGTGTAGTTCTCTGGCGACTCTGGTGCAGCATTTTTCTATACATGTTGATGGGAAACTTTTGTTTTAAAATTGAATATTCTATCCTGTTTAAATTTGTAACAATAAAAAGGGAACATCTGTATATTTTATGTTATGTGCAAATATTTTAACAAGAGATAGTAGAGCTCAAAAGAAGTCAAAATAAGTAAACTTGCTTTATTTGAATGTTTATAGTTTCCGAGATATAGAAAGTGCAACCTCTACTTTGGCGTCGACAAAATGATAAAAAAAATGCAATATAAACAAAGTTTCAACTTTTTTGTACTTTATCCCATAGTTTACATTGCTTGTATTCGGTAACATTTGAGGTAATGAAACTGGGTAATATTGTTATATTAATATAAATATTGTTATGTAATATTGTAATATTGCATTGATCCAAAATTGTTACCATTTTGTGATTTTTTTATATGGGGACACTTTTTTGAAAACATGTAATAGATTTTGAAGAATTAACACATTTGTTTACAATTTGAGTTGATGACGTTTAAGGCTGGGCTCCAAATTTAAATTTATTTGACGAACAAGTGATATTTTGACTTCTTTTGAGCTCAACTATCACCTGTCAAAATAGTTGCACATTCCTTAAAATCGCCCCGTATGTATGTTTCCACCAGAAATTGGATGAAATTTGAAACAAAAACGAAATGTCAGTAAGTGAAATACGTATATGCCGTGTAACACGAAGAATACTTCAATATAGTCAAATATGGCCGTCTGATGACTACGAAATGAATCCCGGCAAATGGTATTATTTCAGAGTTTTGACACTAATGTTGACAACAAGTGTCTGGTTTTTCTGCATTATTATGCACATAGTTATGGCAACACACAGTATTGTACTCTTACTTAGACACACAGGTATAACTTTAATAATTTTCAGGTCATCTTCATTTACATGTCAGCGAAGACGTCGCTTATATAGTCGTATTTTGTGGTCTTTATTACATAACATTTAACTATGTGAAGAATCAACATAAAATTGCATTACTACTTCGCGATTTATCCAATTTTGACAAATTTGGAGTTCCACCTAATTACAAAGCTGTTGAAACCAAATTAGGATTTTTTTCAAAATTTCTTTTTGGTTATGTCACTGCAGCTGGAGTGGTTTACAATTTTATGAGATTTATTGAGAAAGGAGAATGTGAAACCACTACAGGAAAAGAGTTTAATGAAGTTTGTGGTTTAATGTCACCACTTTGGATACCGGTCAGTTTAAACAATAACAGTTTAATCTATTGCATGATATTTTTATACGTGTTGATCTGCTCACAAATGGTTATCAAGGTTGGTTTAATGATTTCATATCATGCAACAGAAATGGCACACCATGTTATTCTAAGAATAAATCATTTGAAATTGATGATTACCAAATGCTTTGATTTAGAGACTAACGAACTGCAACGAAGAAAATTCAAACAATGTATTTTATATCACTCAGAAATACTAGAGTGTGTTTAATTATAAATACAAACAACCACATATAAAAATTACAATTTCAGGTTTGCTTCTAGGTTAGACGACTGTTTTTCTACGGGAATGTTCACTCATATTTTTATGACTGGAGCAATTTTTGCTTGTATAGAAAAACAGTTTGTTGATGTAATTGCACATAATTTGAAATATGACTGTCTCAAATACTTATTTCAGGGTGATCATCGGTTTTGCGCTGCATTACATTTTATTGGGTGGGTTTTGACACTATTTGTTTCTTGTCTTGGAGGACAACATCTAATCAATGCTGTTTGTCTTAAAAAAATTTACACGTTTGGATACGTACTCATTATTTTGTAGAGCGAATCAATTCCTGACTCAATTTGGTCTTCACAATGGTACAAGACTGATAAAAAGCTACGTAAAGATTTGTCATTTATGCTTATGAGGTGTCAAAAAAGTTTAAAAATTAGAGCTGGACCGTTTGGTGTTTTGTCATATCCACTTCTTGTATCGGTAATGACTAATGATGTAGCATTTTTGTTTTTTTCAATAACGAATTTTTTAGGTACTGAAAATGTCTTATTCCATGCTATGTATGCTTAGATCGTGAAATTATGTTTTACGTTTACTGTTTTTAGCTGTGACGCACTTTCAGCAAAAGTTTAATCAAATGTATTTGCACTAATTTACATGGTAGGTAATTAAAAAGGAACAAATAAACACCGTCTATCAATGTTCTGGTTTTTGTTTTTTTTTTTTTGTTTAAATATAGATCTATAATAAATACCGTAATTAGTCTGAAAAAAACGTTAAAAGAATACGGTGCCTCATAAAAAAATAGTACAAGAGACATTTTTTAAAGAAAATTAATCTACAAATCCAAATCTACATAAAAGAAAAATTTTTGACTACAGTGGTTCTGCACTTTAATATGTAACTTGTGACAGCACTAGTAGATTCAGCATCAAAAAATTACCTAATGCAAGTTTTTGTAAATTTCTACTAACCGATTACTGAGATAATTGAAAAAACTTTTTTATTATACCTGCATCATAATCCTAAATTAAAACACGCTGCAGCGTGCGTGCAATTAAAATTGTCTAGGTAACAAGAAATAGTGAAATGTCTGGACCAATTACAACGTGAAAAAATGTGCTTAACAACGTAAACTAGTAACCGTCTCTACGAAAACGATTCACAAACAACCTTTGATAATTTTATTGTGTAAATTCACATTTTTTCAATGCTCATAAAGGATCGTAAATGGGCAGGTATAATATAAAAAATAGCGTATAACTCGTTTATAAACGCCTTTAAAACACTTACGACGTTAAAAGCACTCCGCTGACGTGTCGTACTCTTAAACCCGTCGTGCGTGTTTTAATAGCTTGCTTATAAACTAGTATTATAATATACTATTATCTTTAAGCGGTGTAAAACTATAGTTTTATGTATTTCTAGAGAAACGGTTGAAGTGGCTTTTTTGTAACCAATTAAAGACTTCAAATCCATGGAATTTAAATGGACACAGGGGCGGCTCAACTGAGTCAAATATGAGCATTTCACACTTTGGAATTACGATCTATTTATCAATAGTTACATGAATTATTTAAGAATCAAATTGTTCTTTAAAAAAACTAAAAATAACTAAATAGCAAAATAATAACAAAGTTATTACCTAATATTTAGCCGGTGTCACTGTGGTGTAACACGAGTGGTACATGTGCATAGACGACATATGTCAAAATAAAAACTATCAAAATGGGCGTTTAACCTTAAAAAGTGAACAGAGTCCAAATTTCCGTTTCTTTGTGAACTGCTTAAGGATAAAATAGTACATATAGAGTAGAAGATTTTTTTTTGCTTAGCCCAGTTGTGAGCCTCGCTTCGCTTGGCTTTCAATCTCTAGGCCTAGACTCACTTCTAATCTTTTAAGGATATAATTTACTATCCTTCGTCATTTTCAGAGGGTTTTAACTCCATTATTAGCAAGTATTTCTGAACGTACTACCTACCACACGAACTTTTTTCTTATATTAACCTAAAGAATCACTCACCAAAATATTTTAATGTTTTTCTGATATAAAATGGAAAATTCACAAAACCGTTATGTGTGAAATTCTCCATTTTGTGTCTTGTTCTTGAAATCTGGTAACCTGATTACGTAGAAGATGGTTTACAGGACAAAGGGAAATAAAAACCATTAAATTCGTCCCTTTGTCCTGTAAACCATCTTCTACGTAATGAGGTTATTCACAAAACGATTCTATTGGCTTAATCTGTAGAGCTGGATACCCATGCTTTGTATGAGATTAACTATAGTAGTCTCGTTCTTCGCATGGTCTTTGGTTATGGATAAAGGGTGGTGTGTAGTCTGTTATTTTGATTTTTAAGAAGAAAACATATTACAAACACTTTGACCCCGTCAAAGATTGATTTTCAAAAATTCAAAATTCAAAGTCTTATGTTTCTAATTTTATTTAAACGTTTGCATATTTTGTTAAAGGTTGAAAAGCGTTTGATAAGGATCATATCTTCTAAATTTTACCTCTTTGTTTAAACGTTTACACCCCATTTCACTTTCTTAGAGATTACTTTTCGAAAGGTCTTTTCTTAGCGGAACTTTACACCCTCAAAGAAACAAATCTTTCATATTTCCGTTTTTGTTTGTGTACATCCTGTTTTACTCCCTTTTCTAAGCCGGTGAATAAATTTCTACTTATTATGTATGAAACATTTTGGCCTAGTGCACCTTTACAACCGTTAACAAACATATCTTCTAAATTTTATGTTTATATCTTTGTTTAAATGTTTACATCCCATTTCATCCCCTTAAAACACTATTTTCGATAAATTTTGGTTTTGGTGCACTTTTACACACTCTAAGAAACATATCTTCCAAAATTTATGTTTCTGCCTTTAGTGGTTTAGGCTGTACGTTGTATGTCAGTCAGTCACGGAACTCTTTAATGTACAGGGTGAGTTTTAACTTATACGCACAAACTTAGGGAATGAAAGGTTACGGACAATAATAAATAAAAGAATGAAGAACAAATTAAATATAACTTTTTTTATTTTTCCTTGAACCCCCCATTGTTTTAGAGTATGTAGTATTGGATATCTCCACGCTGTGTCAAATGCTTTTTGCAAATCGAAGAAAACCGCAAGAACATTTTGGTTGTCGGCGAAGGCTTCATGAATTTCAAATTCTAAGGCAACTATGTTGTCTATTGAGGATCTGTTTTTGCGAAAACCACTTTGGATTGGCGTCAGTAAGTTGTTTGTTTCTAGATACCATTATAGTCTCTTGTTTACTATTTTTTCTAGCAGCTTTCCCATAGTACATGTGAGCGAGATCGGTCGGTACGATGTTGGATTTGTTCTGTCTTTGTTAGGTTTGGGGAACGGCAGTATGATGGCTGTAGACCAAATTTGTGGGTTAGAGCCTGTTTCTAAAAGAGAATTAAAAGCGTTTAAAAGGTGTTGTTTGGCATCTGATGGTAACTTCTTTAGAAAGATAAATGGGATGTCATCAGGACCAGGTGCAGTGTTTCGGCAGTTATTTAACGCTTCAATTAATTCTTCAAGTCCAATGAGAGCATTTAAAGGGTTATTGTCGGATATGTTTATGTGGATGGTTGTTTTTTCGCTTTGCGTTTTCAGTCTTAAGAATTCAGGTGAATAGTTAATGTCTGCAGAAGAGTTGTGGAATTGCGAGGCAAAGACTTCAGTATATCCTTGCTTCTGGTGTAGATTTTGTCTTCATTTTGTATCATTTTTATGATGTTAATGGTTGGCGTTCCTTTAAATGCTTTAATTTCGTTCCAGACTTCTGTTGTTGATGTTGAACTAGTGATTGTTGAAACATATTGTCGCCAAGAATCTTTTTAACTTTCTTTAATGGTTCGTCGAGCTATAGCTCTCAATCATTTAAAATCTGCGAGATTTTCAGTCGTATTATGTCGCTTTAGACGAATTAGGGCTCGTTTGCTTGCTTTTATTGCCTCTTCACACTTGTCATGCCACCACGGTACTGTACGGCGTTTATATGTTGGTACGGTTTTGCCTATTGAAATTTCTGCGGCTTGTATAATTATTGTCACGTGTGTGACTAGTGGACGGGAGCAATATTAAAACGATGATAGTTTTTCCTAGGAGTATATTACAAGCTATTAAATGTGATGTACTTACAGAAAAATTTCTTTAAACATTGTCCGGTCGGCCATATGTCACCACGATCGACACTCAATCATCGACTGTCACTTTTTCGCGACCTCGCAGCCCGAACCCCCAAGAAGCTGACTTAGCTATTGCTTCATTAGGTATTGGCAATACCCAATTCAGCAATAGCTTGCAACCGCGATAGGGTGTTCGACCTAAAAGGTGGCTGAACTTCCTGTTTGTGACATTATATTGGTTAGACCTGTGATTTGTTGTGTTGCTGAAATATCTGGAGAAAGGGAGTCTCTTTTATTTGTGATAATAGCTGCATACTGATTCCAGTTTGCTTTATGAATTCTCCAGCGAGGATGAATTGTTCTTCTTGTGTATTGTTATGGGTGTGGTGAATGTAAACAGGGTGAGGGTCGCTGTTATGGAGTTCTGGATAAACTGACCATTCGAAAAGATGTGCTATGGTTGTATCGCAAACTGATAAATCTAAGGTCGAGAACTGGCCAGTCGCAGCATTAAATCTTGTCTTTTGGTCATTATTAAGTAGTGTAAGATTTGAGTTCTCTATTATTTCCTCTATAACTTTTCTTTTTTTGTTTGACACTAATGCGCCCCATATTGGGCTGTGGGCATTAAAGTCTCCAACTAATAATCAAGGAGCGGTTAGCTGTGATATTATACAGGCTTATTCATAAATATGAAGCAATATTTGAACCTCAAAAATGACCTATAAAATGATGTTAATTTAAATAATAACTCATGTCCTATCTCTACTGATAAGAATTTTACAGCCCTCGGAATGTGGGTATGGAAAATTAATTTTTTTGTAATAACTTTGGAAAAAATCCCTATTTTTTGATTTGAGCGTTGTGTAGTCCTCAGTTTAAATTAAAATATCTTTGAAACGGTCCATTTTAGGGGTATTAAAGGTTATGCGTTTTTTATTCTAAATTGATTACTCTATCTATTTGGGCAATAAAACATTGGTGTTAAGAGAGCAAAAAAATGGAAAAACACAGAAAATGAGACCTGCAAATGCTGGAACCGGAAATTGAATGGATGTATCCGGTTTTCGTGATTACCAGTTTAAAAGGTATGTTATCACAAGGAAATGTTTCAAATTTTATAATATTTGGTCAAATAGTTCCAAAGTTATTACAAAAAAATCAATTTTCCATACCCACTTTCCGAGGGCTGTAAAATTCTTATCAGTAGAGATAGGACATGAGTTTTTATTTAAATTAACATCATTTTATGGGTCATTTTTGAGGTTCAAATATTGCTTCATATTTATGAATAACCCTGTATGTGTGATTTCCGCAGACGTGATATCTTTGTTTGGTGGGAGGTAGATGTTGCAAATAACAATTTGCAACAATTGATTATCCCCATCATATAACAATATGATGGGGATGATGGGGATAATCAATTGTAGCTGCTAGGTACTACTTCAAAGTCACATTTTATCGTTATCTCACGCGAGGTGAGTGATTTGTCTATTAAAAGTGCTACTCCGCCTCAAGCTA